TTGTTATGCTTTAAAGAAGTCGAACCATATAATTAATAAAATATTAGTGGTCAATGCTTGGTCTATCCTAGAAGGACCGGTTTTTTTGAATTATCGAAATGCATTCTTGACTGTAAATGTTGCACAGTTACCTACATATAGGTAAATTTTTTATATCTCATATTAAATATCTAGGATTAACAATCAGGATTACCTACTTAGAGTAGCAAATTTATATTATGAATTCCTCATACGTATTTATAAAAAAACTAGCTTTACCTTCCGCTTCGCTGGGCATTTAAAATTAACATTATTATTTCTCATCCCCACAAAGATTCACATCATTAACGCCCCCGCAACTGGTGTAGGAAGTCCAACAATCATATTAAAATTAGCGTATCCATTAAGTACATGTATTTTCTACATGGATACCAAGTTTCAAGTCAATCGGATGCATGGTTCAGTAGTTATAACGGAACATCCGGAAAAAACCACTGTAGATTTATATATTATATTAGTATATACTTGTAAGTATAATGAAGAAAAGAAAAAAACTTCCACCAAGCGGGTGACTGACTTGGTAGGCTGAAGGTCCTAACATTGTTGTTTGAACTTTTATATATGCAGACTTATTTTGAAAATGTCGTAAGCGAGATTCAAGCATCTGTCAAATATCTTGTGTTGTATCATGACTATCTTTTATTTTGCTTTTTTTTTGTTTTCTTACCAATGCTGATAGAATTGACAGGCTATTTCAGCTTCTCCTTGACGTGTAGGTGAGCTCACGGGCCTCAAGCCGGGAGTGTTGCTAACCCTAGCACAAGCAAGAGCAGTGCTTCGCAGAATCTACCACCTGATCGGAAACGTGACCCACTGAAAAGATCCAGCGAGAAACTCAGTGGGCAGGTTGTTTGAACTTGTAGGCAGACTTATCTTGAAAATATCGTAAGTGAGATTCAGGCATCTGTCAAATATCTTGTGTTGTATGATGGCTACCACCGCATACTTAAAGGGTATTTTAGTCATGCCATTTCTTGCCACAATACCTATAGGAATTGATCGGGCGTCTTACATATTAGAGTCTAACAGTTAGACCGCGACTGCTTTACGTACCAACAGAAGGGATTTCGTCGGTAGGTTTAAACTAGTTATTAAAAAATACTTTTATATTTTTATTTATTTAAATACTTAGTCAGTTCTCTTTGAGTAAGCTCTTATTTATTCTTCATAGTCACGCAACACTAAAGACGCTAAAAGATATTATACTTTTTGCATTCTCAACGGAGACGTATTTCGTAAGCTATAAGGATGAAACTTCTTTGTCAATAATAAACGATAGTCAGTTACAAGTTCAAGCTTCAGTTTCCGGACGTCAAGCCTCTAGAACTTCTGGACGGGACCACTTGCTATTTAATTCTAAACAGAGATTATCAACAATTAAATAATGTTACTAATATATATATAATAGTATATGTACCGGTTTTATAAGGCGCATTAGTTATAATGAACAACATTACCCTTAAAGCATTGCTTTACTAATCCTTTATGCACTATAGTACAATTAAATTATTGATTTTAGAGAAAACAAAAACTAAAAAAACGAGTCTGTTGTCCGTGACCACGAAAACTGTAAAGTATTTGGAAAACTAAAGTAATCGAAACTGTAAGGTATTCGTGTTAAGTATTGGAACGTCGGAAAAAATGTGTAGGTATACGACATAGGGAAGGTCTTCCACCGAGCGGGTGATATTGCTCGGTAGCCCGACGGTCTGTATGTTGTTTTTTTCCCTATCTATGCTGATAGCCTTGAGAGGCTATATCAGCTTACCCTAGCGTGTGTAGGTGAGCTCACGGAGCTCAAACCGAAGAGTTGCTAACACTGACCCTAGCAAGGACAGTGCTTCGCAGAATCTACCACCGGATCGGAAGTTTTTACCATCGCACCGCCCGCCACCGGAGTAGAGTTCATCCATACTACCTGGAGCCACTGCGGTCATCCACAGTGCGCTTTCAGAGATCTTTTTTGCCACGTACCATCCGGCTATGGAATGAGCTCCCCTCCACGGTGTTTCCCGAGCGCTATGACATGTCCTTCTTTAAATGAGGCTTATGGAGAGTATTAAGCGGTAGGCAGCGGCTTGGCTCTGCCCCTGGCATTGCTGAAGTCCATGAGCGACGGTAACCACTCACCATCAGGTGGGCCGTATGTTCGTCTGCCTACAAGAGCAATAAAAAAAAAAAAAAAAAATTACGTGCTGTATGTTGTTGTTCGGAACTTGTATATATGCAAGCTTATCTTGAAAATGTCGTAAACGTGATTCAGGCAATTTTCAAATATCTTGCGTTGTATAATTGGTACCGCCACAAATGTATAATTATGGTAATAAACAGGAGATTATAAAGTAATTTTAATAACGTAACATATATTCGAACGAAGTGAATAAACTCAACTCGAAAATCGCAAAGTGCGCAATGTGTAAGTTAATAAAAAAAAAATGTATAAATACAATATTTCCGAAAAAAGACCTCTTCTATATCTGCAGCCTGCGTCTAATCACGAAATGGAAAATGGGATTTTGTACGTACACAGTAAATAAATAGACATCACAATGTAAACGCCTACACCCATCAGTGATATGAGATCTACGTCTATTTTAGGTGGGCTGTGCGCTCGTTCACCCATTTAGACAATAACAAAAAATGCATTATGTGTCCACACGGATAACATTGGCCGTCCGTTATGTGTTACGGCTTTAAGCCAATAAACACAATCGGGATTTTGATCGCTCCTCAAGGTGGAATCCATGATTGTTACAAAACCAGTACTGAGTTAATATACCTGGATACAATTGAGAATACAGCGCATTCATCACATTAAGCCTAAATTTACCAAAACATAAAAACACCTAACTGGTGGTAGGACCTCTTGGGAGTCCGCACGGGTTGGTACCACCACCCCGCCTATTTCCGCCGCGAAGCAATAATACGTTTCGGTCCGAAGGGTGGGGTAGCCGTTGTAACTATACTAAGACTTTAGAACTTATATCTCGAGGTGGGTGGCGCTTTTACGTTGTAGATGTCTATGGGCTCCAGTAACTACTTAACATGTGGGCTGTGAGCTCGTCCATCCATCTAAGCAATAAAAAAAACCTACATTCAAAGAGTTGCTAACACCAAAATATAGCCTGAAAAAAAAAATTTTAATCTAATAAAATTGAGTACCTAGATAAACGTTTCAAAACCCCTGGAGTAACTCAGACGGGTTCAGTCAACCCTTGCGCTTCCCGGTCCCTCATTGCACTCCGGCGCAGTCATCGCAACGCACCAACGCAAAAACAGAACAAGGTGAGTTCTAATATTATTCTATTCAAAATGATATTGAAAACAAATGAAATTTGTAAAAAGATATAGCTATATACATATATTCACGCTTTAAAAGTAAAAAAAAACAAGACTAGAGCGATGTATACATAAGTATTTATATATTATACCTTTTCTGAAGTTACATTAAAACAGTTTGCTACTAATTTTATATCGTAAGGCGACTCTCATCTATATATTAATACGTGAAGCAAAAACTTTATATCCCTTTTTACGAAAATTGCCCTTACGGAGGAGTATGAAATTTCCCACACTTATATAGAATATAGAGAAGGAGTGCACAATGTATATATTTTTTTAAATTATGCCTAAAAATACATCAATAAAAAAAAAACATTATAAACACTACCATGTATTTGACGCACACACGCATGCATACTATTTATTTATTTATTGTCAAACTTTTGTTCTTGACGTCTGTGGTCAAATTGAGAATAGATTAAATATTGTTTGTCTTTATTAATATTTTTCTATAGTGTAGTCTTGGCGAAATTTGTTTATTAGAATAGTCTTTGAAAATAGAATCAATAGTGTACAAACTTTTATTTTCAATTAATTATAGTCGAATTTCGACTACCGGGCGACCACTAGTTGCATTCAAAATCATATTTAAAACAAATAAAATTTGTAAAAAGATATAGCTATATACATATTATAATCACGCTCTAAAAAGTACAAAACTAGACTAGAGCGATGTATAATAAACCTTTACGGTAAATATATATTAAAATCCAAACAAAAATCTACGAATTAGGAATTCAACACCGAAACTTGTCTAATCATCATCATCATCATCAGCCTTTATCTATTCACTGCTGGACATAGGCCTTCCCCAATGCCTTCCACATCTAATATATTGTTATTATTCACTTTTTCGATATTATATTAGTCAATACGCGACTTTTCTAAAGTTACATTAAAACCGTTTGGTACTAGTTTAATACATAGTGTACGCGATTCTCCCTCATTATAAGCAATCAGTAAATACCAATCAACTTTTTATATATTTTAAATTATAATATTTTAAATTTCTACCAGAGAAACCATTCATAGTAGCTCATTTTAATTAATCACTTAAACACTTTCAAATGAATTCACATATTGTATAGACAAGTTCACTCAAAGTTGAGCGTCTTAATTTTTTAAATATTCACGTATACACGTGTTTGCCTAAGTTTTGGAATTTGACACGAACTTGATTCTAAAATATATAATATTTGAAAAGCTTTGAAAAGACCAAGAGGAAATAGTACTTAATTAGTTTTTTTTTTGCCCATTTCAAAACAAATATAATTTTTTTATGCAATCATTAATTAATCTAGTAATAATTTTTTAATATTATTTTTTACTGATGGTAGGAACTCATGTGAGTCCGCACGGGTAGGTACCACCACCACGCCTATTTCTGCCGTGAAGCAGTAATGCGTTTCAGCTTGAAGGTTGGGGCAGCCGTTGTAACTATACTGAGACCTTAGAACTTATATCTCAAGATGGGTAGCGCATTTGCGTTGTAAATGCCTAAGCGCTCCAGTAACCACTTAACACCAGGTGGACTGTGAGCTCGTCCACCCATCTCAGCAATAAAAAAAATAAAATAAAAATTAAGAAATTAATTTATTCGTGTAATACTCGTGTTTCAGATGCAGTGCTTCATATGCGTCACGTACATGATTGTACTATGCACAGTTAATCCTACCAAAACAAGAGAGATAGGCATTGGAAACAGCAAGCGTTCGCTCTTTCACGACGTTTTGCAATCGTTCAGGATTCACGCTCATCTACCCGAAGACGTAAATCAAAATGAGGAGAACAACATAGCTCAGAATTATGTCAAATATGTCCTTGAAAATGACCGGCAATTACAAGGATACAAAGATCTAATGCCCAGAAGAAATGACCGACTAGAAATGCCACCTATGAAATTCCGGTACCCGAAAAGTCTTCGCGTAAATAAAAATGACAACAAACCAAACTTGAAACAGATTAAAACAAATTCGAATATGATTATGAATAATAAAGATAAATATGTTAATGAAAATTCCGATGTAAAAGGAATGCTTGCTTTACAAAGTGAACGTGATTCACAAAAACCACAATACACTTCTTTAGTTAGTCCCAAACAGAATCCACTTGGAAATAAGGATTCTCAAAGTGAGAGTCAAATAGTAGTACTAACTAATGATTCAGATTTCGGTGAGATTGACTTCGACGATTTAATTACTACAAATCCTTTCCAGGCTATGGAAGTAAAAAATTCAAAAAAATATGCGGATAACAATAACGATCCCGTTACAATTACAGGACAGAGCATGAACGTATTAAAAACCAAGGAAAAGAAAATTGATGAAGACATGATCATGTGTGAAACAAAAGAAAATAACTTTAAGAAAAACGCTAAGACTGACTTTAGCAAAATTATGCAAATTGTCCGTAAAATGCTAAACTATCACTGATATTATAATATGATAGTTGTCCTCAACATAAGTAGCTTATTTAAAATTACTAAAAATACTGTGTCAATTCTTCGTCTGATATCATATTCTTTAATATTTATGAAAGGCATTTAGAATATTTTTCGATATTAATTCTAATTAGCTTAAGTATTTTTTTAAACATCCGATAGAATGTAGTCAGAAGCAATTTATAAAGAATAAATAGATTTAAATTAAATAATGTATGTTTCTATATCCGAAACGGATAAAGATATAAAAGTTTCCGATTAATGGGATGAATATGGAAAAGACAATACGGAAAATTTTCTATTAATTTAAAATAGCTTTTACATGCAGACAATTCAACCAACTAAAGGCCTCCTCAATTGGTAAATTATATGAAAGTTCCATTTACATAGCATTAACGGGTATCCTATAATTCTAAACAGAAACTAGTCATCAGCTATTTGATCACAATCAAGTCGTTTTTATGTTAGAGAAGCTATAATTGATGCTATAATAAAAATTACATTATTGTAATTAGAATAGTGTGAGCTGCAAAAACAAGTCTAATTTTAATTTTCAATCAATCATTTTTTTCAATCCATCATTCAATCTTTTTATGTGTAAACTAGTAAATATGGCCAGCTTTGGCAGCCAATCGTTAATTTCACTTTTATTAGATCGTTATCAAACCATACGGGATCGGCCAGCAAGGACAATCTGAAGATTTCCCTAAAATTTAATTGAAATCGGTCCAGTCGTTTCGGAATATAAGCACAAATACATGAATATACCAATCGACTTATATCCATATATCGTATAGAAAATAGAGAGCACTATGAATAATATTTGGAAAATTGAAACACCCAATTCAAGCAGCTTCCATTTCCTTCAGAGTCCAGTGAGCGCAGTTATCTGATCTGACCAACGGTTTGGTGGCCGGTCGGCGGGTCTTTTCCTTTCTACCTTGACCACCACAGTCAATTTGTCAAGGTTGTCTGGTAGCCGCCGAGTAATGTGACCAAAGTAACCAAGAACCTTCTGGTAGCAAATCGTAGACAGTCTTGTTTCTATGCGAAGTTGCTCGAGGATAGATTGATTGATGTTAAAAAGAGCCACGAAGGGTTTTCAGGGACACGACCTTCAGCAATGAATTAGGTATGCGACTAAGAAGAAGAATTCAAGTAACTCAAGTACCTCATATACATAGTCGTCGTGGCCTAACGAATAAAACGTCCGATGCATTCGTGTTGAGCGATGCACCGGTGTTCGAATCTCAGGTGGGTACCAATTTTTCTAATGAAATACGCACTCAACAAATGTTCACGATTGACTTCCACGGTGAAGGAATAACATCGTGTAATAAAAATGAAACCCGCAAAATTATAATTTGCGTAATTGCTGGTGGTAGGACCTCTTGTGAGTCCGCGCGGGTGGGTACGACCACCCTGCCTATTTCTGCCGTGAAGCAGTAATGCTTTCGGTTTGAAGGGTGGGGCAGCCGTTGTAACTATACTTGAGATCTTAGAACTTATATCTCAAGGTGGGTGGCGCATTTACGTCGTAAACGTCTATGGGCTCCAGTAACCACTTAACACCAGGTGGGCTGTGAGCTCGTCCACCCATCTAGCAATAAAAAAAAATCCTTTCTAAACTACTACACTAATTTACTATTAAAAAAAAATGTTGTTATAACTTTGGAAATTCTGATGATATAGAATTAAAATTACCGTTTTCGAATACCTCACGCATTATACTCATCGTTTAATGAATCACCGAACATTGGGTGTACGACCAAATATTTTGTACTCAAACCACATACAGATCGAACCTTTTGCGGAGACGAACAACGGTGAATACCGTTACGTTACTGTTCGGTTCACTCAGGTTTGTGTGTTTGTAATACAATTTTACTTTTATAGTTTAATGTCTCTTTTGTTTATCTACTAGCGTCAGCAAGCGTTGTCAGAGGTCTGAAAAATATGTGTCCGGCTAAAAATGTAGGTAACCAGCCCGAAAAATCAATTAACTTCCACAGTTAATGAATAACATCGTGTAATAAAATTCAAACCCTCAAAATTATAATTTGCGTCATTACTGGTGGTAGGACGCCTTGTGACTCCGCACGGGTAGATACCCTGCCTATTTCTGCCGTGAAGCAGTAATGCGTTTTGGTTTGAAGGATGGGTAACCGTCGTACTGTTACAACTGAGGCTTTATAACTTCTATCTTAAGGTGGGTGACGTCATATACTTTGTAGATATCTATGGGCCCCCGTAACCACTTAACACCAGGTGGGCCGTGAGCTCGTCCACCTATGAAAGCAATGAAAGAAATCAAGACAGCACGGTTAATATCCGGTGGTCGAGGTGCACTACTTCGCTCTTATTTCATTTGCAGCATTTCAGCATCATCAACCCACAGATGTCCACTGCTGGATGCAGGCCTCCCTGCACAGCCTTGCACTGCACCTTGCACTCGCTCACAATGACTGGCCCAGTGCGGCCCGCATCCAACGTATTCCCGCAACCTTTATCAAGTCATAGGTGTACCTCATGGAGGCCTACCCAAGCTGCGTTTTCCGGCTCGCCACCACACGAGAAGTTATTGTCCCCAACGCCCACCTGATCTTCAAACAACATGCCCTGTCCACCGCCACTTCAACCTCGTAATCCTTCGGATTTCACTGCAACACACACTGGTCAAACCTGCGTCTATCTATTCCTAAAGGTAGATTACTAATTTTTCTGAACTCTGATAGCTACTAAGTAGAAGGAGAGTAGTATGTTTAGTCTACACACCTTACGGAAACTCTTTGGCAGTAGCTATCGACTTGGCTCGCGTTACTGATCACCATTAGCCACGATCAGCCATCAGATAGGCTGTGTATTCGTCAACCTAAAACAGCAATAATAAAAACAATAACTTCAGTCTATATTCGAATTTAAAATTAAAGGCTAAATCTTAAGGCTCTTCTACATATTTTGTTTTAAACAATTTTATTGTCTACTTGTACACCAGTCTTAGATCGTTTCATGATAATAACTCTAAATTATATAATATATACTAAATATACGTTATTCGTATTCATTGATAATTTATTAACTTCCTATCTATCTCTAATCTAATATTAAATTAAACCGACCAGATCCATTTCATTCCAAATCATTTCCATCAAAGTAAACGACTAACAGTTTAAATTGTTTATCAAATGTCATCGACTATTAAAATTTCTAACTCTTTGGAATAAAGAGACAGGGAACAAATCATTTTCGATTGATATATTATAGGCTTGATGGTCATCATCATTATTCCTTCCTATTACCCTCTGCTGGGGTGTAGGGGTCGAATTATATTATAGGCTTGATGGTATTAAGGTTAAAGTGTTTATTGCCAAAATTCGTTTGTATACACTGCTAAAACTATATAATTATTAGGTAATAGAAGCAACGGATTTGATGACTTACCTAATGTTAAGTCTAATATCCCGCTGATTGTGTGCATGCACTCTTCAGCTAGAAAATCTCATAGAAAATTAGACCCCCGGACAAAAAACACGGTTAAAACTCAGTTCTTATATGAATAAACTCATATCATTATAACAGATAACGTTGTATCGGTAATCAACAAAACCCACTTCATAATGATATTTGAAAATTTATACTAAATGCAGGCTCACGTACTGAATCTCTAAATTCATTAACACTTAAAGTTTGTACCTTGGAACTTTAATATTTCCAAATGACTTTATACTGAGACATGTTAACGAATTATCAGGATAGATAATTGTTTATATTCATCTTTCTTGGTCATAAAACCGGTTTGACCACAGCCGTTGCACTAAAGATTGATTTGGAGTTTTTAGCGCTTGGGTGGTGTCGTGTGAATTGCTTTAATTCGTCAATTTAGTGTCAATTAGTGTTTTTTCTGGCTTAAACGTAGTGTGATAGCGGCTAACAACGACTTAGTATTTGAATCAAGTGCAAGAATGGAGAAAAATAAAACACAATCGTCGGATATGCGTTCTTGAGTTCTTGTTAAAAGCCGAATGAGTCTCATTAAATTTACGCTATTTTATTGATATGGATATGGATAATTATATTTTATGGATAATTACCTACTTATAGATTAATAAAACAAATAAGTTAAGCTAAAAGCTGAAGTAACTAAGGGCCGTAATAAAATGCATTCAAGACTTACAAACAAGTGTAATTCTTGTCACATAGGACACATCATGTGTGTATAGAGCCTCCAGTGATTTACATCAAGTTGACTGGCCTCTCTTCTGCCAATATCGGCAAATTTAAAAACCTTTCACTAGATTTTTGCAAGAATCACAAACTCTGGATGCCAAAATGCCCGAGATCATCGTTAATGTTTCGTATATTTCTAAAAAGGTTCAAGTACTTTGATATAGTATGAGTCTTTTTAACTTAATAACATATTAAATTTACAAAAAAATCATAGCGGACAATGTGGAGTTGTCTAATATTAAATAAAATGTATAAATCGTTTTTTATAACCGGAAACACCATTAAATAAAAACATTTGAAAAATAATATATTATATGTTAACAATTTAAAATGATTTGATAGTTCTTTTTTTTTGAATCGTTCGTTGACCTATTTGATTAGTATGTAAATCAAAATATGACGTCGTAAACTGAACGGTATCTATCATAAAAATGTATCGTAAATATCCTTATATGTATAAATTTAAGACGATTCTGTGAGCAATACGAATTGCCAGCTCTAGCTAATGCCTTCATGTTCAGGAACTGTTCTAATCACCGCGTACCAAAGTAGAATATCACTGCTAGCGATGCGGCTATAGACTAAATCAATAGACTCACTTTGTAAAATGTAGACAATCTGAGAGATGTCTTGTTCGAGATGATACCGGCATCTCGTTTTTACCATCGCACCGCCCGCCACCGGAGTAGAGTTCATCCATACTACCTGGAGCCACTGCGGTCATCCACAGTGCGTTTCCAGAGATCTTTTTTGCCACGTACCATC